CAATAATGTACAGTATGTGGAAAATAATGTGTTTTTTGAACCTTAAACCACAAACACATTTCATTACACCAAATACACAAAATAATGTTCTTTTTAGCAACATCATATGACCCCTTTAAACCAGCACTGCATCGTACATAATCCTCCTGTCCAACAGATGGCGCTAATGACCGTCCAGCCTGCATTACTATATGTCTACGAAGGAAGGAAGGACTGGCAGCTTAGAAAATAAACAAAAGACGAGCTCAGATTGCTAAATGTGTTTGACGTTAACTAAACTCTTTTAACTACGCTTTTGCGGTCTTTAGGTTGATCTATCAGCAAGGGCTGTCCGACTGGCCATGAATCCCAACCTATCGCTGCGAGTGAGCGTCTTCTCCGAACAAGGAGGCAGGAAATACATGGAGGATTTAACGGAGGTGATCGTGGAGCTGGAACCCAGCGACGATGAGCTGCGTGCGGCCGGGCACACCGATCCAAAGCCGGACCAAGAGCCAGTCTCTGAAAGCGACCCGCCGGACTGCACAAACAAGCCATTACCCGTCATGGTAACGTGGAGAAACACGCTGTCCGCCGACGAGAGTGACGGTACCGAGGAGCCCGGGACTCAGCCGGCGGCAGCGGACAGCAGGAGATCGGTTGCGTTCTTCGCCGTGTTTGACGGCCACGGAGGTCGAGAGGCTGCGCTGTTCGCTCGAGATCATCTGTGGGATTGTCTCAAGAAGCAGCGGGGCTTTTGGTTGAAGGATTACCGGAAAGTTTGTGCCGCAATTCGCAAGGGTTTCATCGCATGCCATCATGCAATGTGGAAAAAGCTTCGTAAGCCAATTCAAGCCTATTTTCCATAGTGAATGGTGTGAGGTTTCCTGACATTAGTGCCCTTTTTTAAATGTCTAACTACGTTGTGAGTAAGTTAGCTGCGTGTATATGGTTTTGATGATCGGTAGTGACCTAAGACCTCAAGGCAATTTATATCGACTGAAATCGCATGCGTGTTAGAATTATTCTTATGGTAAGATGGATAACGATGGGGCTGCGATTGTGTAAATTAGGTGTCGGGCTAATAGACTTTTTGAAATTGGGCGCCACGCTATCTACTTACTGCAGAAAAGACGAAAAAAATCGAATGGAAGGGTCGCAGTGCGCATGCGCGGAATCTTTGCACTCTGTGTGTGTATTTACTTATTAGATGGACAGAGAGCACGTCTATATAAAACTGTTGCAAACCTTTACACACGTTTAAAGGTAATAAGCAAATGCATTATATCATCGAAACCCGTTTCCACCACAGTTGAGTAAAAATACTCAAATAAAAATTCTGTAAGTCATAATAACGACAAACTTTCTCATAGTTGTGACTTAGTAGTACCCCATATCGAGAAACTGTACCATAATTATGCACTTTGTATATCAGAATAATGATTAACGTTCTCATAAGTATCTCATGATTAATTTAATGTTATTATATTTAGAAAAAGAAATCTCATTATTATGGCTTAACATCTGATAATGAGAAACTTTCTCATAATCACTTGACATCTCATAATAATGAAAGCGTTTTTCACAGTGAGATTCTTCCTCATGATAACATCTCATGAGAAACTTTCTCATAATAATGGCTTAGTATCATAAGAATGACGAACTTTATCAAAATAACGACTAAGTGTCTCATTTTAATGAGAGACTTTCTCAAAATAATGACTTAGTATTACATAATAATGAGAAACGTTGTGCTAGTTATTATTTAATGTACGCATGCGCAAAGCAACAGACTAAGTTGCTAGTGACATCTGCTGGTCAAAACCGTGTAAACACACAGAAAACGTGGCAGGGTCTGCAAAGCTGTTGTTTTCATTAAAGGGGTCATATTCAAACGAAAAATGTATAGACTTGTTCGGCATTGCTGGGAACACCCACAAAAACGTCATAACCTTTTATGCCTTGGGGGCGGAAACAAACCATTCGAATTAACGCGCGAAGACCTTGTTAGGCGCTTGATCTTTACTTTTTGTGATGATTTCGATTGATTTATGCTTGGTGCAATGCCGAAAAGTTGCTGCGTGACGTTCTGTACCTCTAATAAGTTAAAAAACCCGATCTGAAGATTTATATGTCGAATAGGGATGGGCGATACCCCTTATTTTGTTTTCGATACGATACCGATATTTTTCAAGGCAGTATCGTCGATATCGATACCGATTCGATACTTCTGCACTAAACTTTTAAATTATGAAATGTATTAAATTATTAAATTACTAAGAGTAAAATGGGTAATGAAAACCACTTAACTTTGTTTAAAACGCATTTTAACCCGTTTAATCCCATATTTTTCCCAGACATGAAAATTTTTCCCATTATTTCAACCCTTTGAAATAATCAATATTTATTATTTTTTTTTTTTTAGGTGTCACAATTGTAACCGGTGGGATAATGTGTATACTGAATTTACATGTTTCTGCAGTCATAAAAATGATTATATATCTTAGCCCAGGTATTTTAAACTGTTTGATCACATTCTAGGGTTACTATTATGCAT